ACGGAGTTGAGAGCACTTTAGGTGCATAACCATGCCTTGGCTTCAGGACAACCTTGGAGTCGTTGGGCCCTCAGAGCCCTCAACACCGTGGGCAGGTCCCATGTAGGGACGGTGACAGGGTGAGGCGGTTTGAGCCTCCTAGACCCCTTCAAAAAGTGAAAAACTAGGTTGTTCCTGCCCACCGACTGGCCAGCTCTAGGTGCGTGTGAGGCTGCTATGGCTGCTACATAGACCTTGAGCGTGGAAGGGGAGCGACCCTTATCCAACAGCTCCTGCAGGAAGGACAATATCAGAGATATGCCGCAGGAAATTGGGTCTGTGCCGATTTGGTGCTCTAGCCTGAGATATTGTGTTTAGAAAGCTCTCTGGGAGGCCAGAGGTGCAGAGCCCACAGCTCGGGCTGGGGGTGCCATATTGTTCTGTTCGCCTGAGAGAGGAGGTCTCGTCTCAGGGGGATGGGCCACGGGGCTGCTAGAAGCAGCTGAGACAGCTCTGCAAACTAGTGTTGGGTCCTCCAGAGCGGGGCCACCAACAGAACCTTGTGTTTCCGCTCCTTGATTCGCCTGATTACCTGTGGGATCAGGGCGATCGGGGGAAAAGCGTAAAGGAGGAGGTTGGGCCAGTCATGGGCCAACGCATTCTTGTCCTTCGAAAAGTAAATTGGGCAGTGAGAGTTGTCTTCTGAGGCGAAGAGGTCGACCTCTACCTTGCTGAAGATCTCCCAGATTCTTTGAACCGTATGTGGGTGGAGCATCAACTCTTCTGAGGGGATGTTGCTCCGAGATAGCATGTCTACTCCTTGGTTCAACCTGCCCAGCACACCCGTGTTGGAAGCGTCTGTCGAGACCACTTTCCTTCTGCAGAACATTCCCTGGAGTAAGCCACGTTCCATCCACCGAGTCTTTCCAAGGGGCCAGAGCTGCTATGCATGCCCGGTCCACATTGACACTAAGGCGTCCGAGATGCCAGGTGTGGGACGGAACTCGTGGTTTCAGCCAGCACTGAAGGGGCCACATGCGAAGCAGGCCCAGCTGAAGTACCGGAGACGCGGAGGCCATGAGGCCCAGCATCTTCTGAAATGCCTTGAAAGGGCAAGGGGCACCAACTTTGAATGAGGCCACAAGCTGCTGAATAGCCAGTGCACGTTCTGGCGCAACTACTCGAGTCGAGAACTGTTACCAGGAACGAGATCCGTTGGCTGGGGGACAGTCCGCTCTTGACAAAATTGACCCTGAGTCCCAGGCATTCTAAGTGGCTGAGGAGGAAGGATCTGTGAAATAGTAGCTCATCCTCCGACTGGGCCAAGATGAGCCAGTCATCGAGGTAATTCAAATGTGGATTCCCATCTATCTCAGCGGGGAAAGAGCCACATCCATGCACTACGTAAAAGTGCGAGGAGCTAGGGACAGTCCAAAGGCAAGGACCATGTATTGATATGCCACTCCCTCGAAGGCGAATCTCAAGAATTGTCTGTGGTGGGGGGCTATCTGGATGTGAAAGTAGGCGTCTTTCAGATCCAGCGAAAAGTACGAGTCCCCTGGGCACACTTGCGAGAGGATCTGTTTCAATGTAATCATCCTGAACAGCCGTTTCATGAAGGCTTGGTTCAGGTGCCTAAGATCGAGGATGGGCCTTAGATTTCCATCCTTTTTGGGGACAAGGAAATAGCGGCCTTGGAAGCCTGACTCGCTTTGAGCAGGGGGAACCGTTTCTACGGCTCCTATCGCCAGCAAATTCATCACCTCGGGGCACAGGACGTGTGCGTCTTTGCTCTAAACCGAGGTGGGAACCACGCCGCTGAATCGCGGGGGTCTTCGAACGAACAGCATTCTCTTTTTATCCACCTAAAAATATCAAACCACTCATTAGAACAGGAGTATAGTGTAAACAGAAGTGTAAACACTCAGGCAGATCAAAAGTGCTGAGCGCATTCTCTCAGATCCGCTCGTGGCGGACGAGGGGAGGGGCGGGGACATGAGCTCTCGTAGTGAGAGCGATCTGTCTCAGCGAGCGAAGCCTCAGCGTGGCCCAGGCGAGAGGTTCATTCAAATACGAAGCTGTCAGCGATATTGAATCATTGGTGGTAGCGTTCTGCTCTGATCGTCATAGAAGGATTGCACCGTTCGACAACGGGAGACGCCGATCCTCACGTGTAAACACACTGGCGGATCAAAGAGCTGCATGGAGAGTGATGCACGTGGGGGCTTTTGCCGGCGTTAAATCACTCATGCCTGATCGCTCATCCCCGCGAGTTCGCCCTTTCTTCCTCTGAGTAACTGGGAGGAGAGAAACACAAGAGCGGGGGAGGCAGGGCACAGCGACGCACGCACAAATGCGAAGCTGCCGGCGTTCTGCTTTGATCTGTCTAGGAGGATTAAACCGCTCGGTGTAATGAGGGGCACTGATCCTCACGTGTAACACACACTGGCAGATCAAGCACGCATGATGTGTGCCAGCATGAAATTTCTCAAGCCTGATCACTCAACCCGCAAGCTCGCCGTTGCTTCCTCCGAGGTAACTGGGAGGAGAGAAACATGAGAGCAGGGAGGCGGGGTCGTCTTCGGTGAACGAACAGGGACAGACTGCTTTCATGGTAAAAGCAGCCCGTCTCTGTGAGCTCAGTCATAGCGACACACCCGTAAATTCGAAGCTGTCAGTGACAGCATTCTGCTTCGATCAGCCTAAGAAGATAGTGCCGCTCGATGTAACGAGGGGCGCTGATCTTCATGTGTAAGCGACATCCGTGTAATCGACACGCAGCGGGGAGAGTGAGCACGCATGCTCTGTGTCGGTGTGAGATTGCTCAGACCCGGTTTCTTAGCTCCCAGACTTCGCTGTTTCTCTATCCGAGGCTCGCTGAGAGAGGAGAAATGGGAGAGCGGGGCTGCCTCATTGAAGGCGGTCCAGGAGCGGAAAAGAGCGAGACTTATGCTCTGAGTGAGCATTCTGTCTCAGTGAGCGCACAGCTCACTGCCCTTCTGCGGCGGATCAAAGTGCAGCGGGGAGAGCGAGCACGCGGGTACAGTGCCGGCATGCGATCGCTCAGACCTGGTTGCTTAGTTCCTTGACTCCGCTGTTCCTTTCTCCGAGGATCGCTGAAAGAGCATAAACGGAGAGTGGAGCTGCCTTCAATGAAGGCCGTCCGCGAGTGGAGAAGAGCAGGACTCATTCTCTCAGCGAGAGCATTCTGTTTCAGTGAAGTGCAGTCTCTGCATAGGGGCTGCCCAGACAGGCGATGCACTCACTGCTCTTCTGCATCATGCAAGATTCTGTGTACGAGCCACACTCGCAGTGCGACATTTGCAACAACGTCGCTAGAAATTTTGGTCTTTTAGAACTTACCTCTTAGAAAGAAGCTCTTTTTGGTTCGCCGGATGGCGGCAGGGGATCAGCTTGGTCCACTGCTGCTGCGACGCTGAAGGTGGCAGTGAAGCGGCGAATCGGCCGAGCAGAGGGTCGCTGGTTCAGCTTGATTCGCTGCGAAGGTGATTCTACGGCGAGAGGCTTCGAGTCTCATAGGTCAGCGAAGAACTTAGTTGTCGCTGAAGGAGAAGAAATCTGAGGATCCTATGGCGAAGTACACACTTATATAGCCAGATGTCCCACCCAAATTGTGTCGCCATAGGCTTGTGCAGCTCCGCTTTCCCCAAAGCATCTTAGCAGACACAGTACAAGTGAAGTATCGATAGGGAACTCAGTACTGCTTTTAACCAGATATATATCAAAAGAGGAAAATATGTAATTTATATTATCAAGCTGCATTCAAAGCATTTTCATATGCCGACACACATCCAGTTGTTTTCTTTCTTTTTAGTTCTGACACATTAATACAGCTTCATGAACAAAGGAGAAGAGTAAACGTTTGTAGCATCAGATTATGCAATAGAAGCCTATTAAATGAATATTCCATGTTCAATACAAGTTAAGCTCTATCAACAGCATTTTAGTATAATGTTGATTACCACAAAAAATTAATTTAAAAAATCTGGTTTACAGTAAAGCATTTACAATGGAAGTGCATGGGCAGTTCCAAATTCTTATAGCCACAAAGTGAAATAATTGTTTACTAACCATTTCTGTGCAATATGAAATGTATAGATTACATACATATATACATATACAGTGGTGGCCAAAATTATTAGAACACCTGACAGATCTGAAAATATTTACCTTTTTTTTGGCCTTCAAAATATGATTTCATTTCATAATGTTCATGAAACATGCAGATGGTTGCTCTGAGCACAACAAAAATCAAATGAAGTGAGTCGCACTCTTTTTATCCTTTTGCAGCAATTACAACAGCACATCTCTCTGGCATAGTGTCTATATATATTTATAATAATATAATATATTTCCTGAGAACTTCAACACTAATGTTATCCCATGCCTTCTGGAACTGGGGCCAAAGGCTTTCTTTTGAATGTACAATAGATCTGTCCAGTTTATTTTCCAACTTGCCCCAAATTTGATGGGGTTGAGATCTGGACTTTGAGGGGGCCAGTCCATCATTTTCAATGGTCCAGCAGATTCCTTCCGTCGCAGGTCGTTTAGAAAATAGTTCGTTTTATGCAGGTATTTTAATGGCCAATTCAACAAAAACAACTGAAACCTCTTAAATATGCCGTGTTCTAATAATTTTGTATGTTTTGCACTGTATACATATTACAACATTGCAAACATTGCACATAAGTCACTAAAACTAAATTTAGTAAATTTACAAATAATTACAAAGAAATGGCAAGTCACACAAAAAAGATTATTTACAGTGTGTAATAAACCAAGAATAATCCTTCAAATGTCTTTTCACAGTAAATGCATTTCTTAGCACCTGATTTTTGAGGAACACACATCAAATCTAGTAGCCTATGTGCTGTATCAGTGCATGAATGTCAAATATCTACCAGTGATATTCTCTCCCCCTCCAGCAAAGCAGTTCTGTCTATCAGAACTCTGGTGTGAACTGGACCTCTCCATACTGTATGTCTCTTTGTGTTTCACAGGTAAATAAGACCAGTATAGCCTGGTCCCTAGGCTACATGCTTGCACTTTCCAACATGATCCCAGCCGAAGGGAAAATCATCAAGCTACCCATAAACAACGTCCTCTTCACTGGGCTCCTCCTGCTGTTCTCTGCTTTGACAATTATCACCCTCACGTACCTCGTCATTGCGCTGGTGCGCTTTTGTTATTGAGGTTTTTATACTGAGTTCTCGTCTGTAGGTCAAGTGTCCCACTTAGGGAGGTTTTGTAAACCAGGAGATATGCTGATGTGTCAATGCAGATGTACCTGCTAAAGAAAGATTTTAATTTTAGATCCTGAAGGTCTTGAAGGTCCAGCGGTGCTAAGGTTAAAAAGAAGACACCTGATGTGAACACCAAATGTGTTCAAAACCTGTATTCAATGTCATTCTATCCAAAAAAGGCAGTGTACAGGTCTTTCTAGTCCAGGAATGCAGTAGCAAAGTCTTGTACTGTGGATTTGAAAGAAAACACTGAAGACAAAGAAAATAATTTAGCATATTTACAGTAAAAATATCTTCTAGGTCATGACAATGTTTTGATTGTGTATTGTATCTAATGTTTGTCTCATTCAACTGCATCATCCCTTATGTATCGTACATGTGTATTTCTGCATGTGCTCTTCAGCACACGTTGTCTTTGGATGAAATATGTCATAGTACTAATAAATGTTATGATTGTTAATGGCAGTGCAGTGAGGACTGGTGATTATGTATTTCAACTGATGATCTAGGCATTTGGCATTTAATGCTATTAAAGTAAGTAAAATTAACTCTAAGGACACTTTTTATATAGACAAGTCAAGCCATCTTTATTTATATAGTGCTTTATACAACACAGATTGTGTCATAGCAGCTTTACAGTGTTAAACAGGAAAATAATGTTTCAACAATGCAATCAAAATTCAATTATGCTGTAAAGCAGCTCTATACATAGAACAATAGAAAACAGTCAATTTTCCAGTTAAAGTCAGTTCAGCATTGATTCATTAATGTCATCGTCCAGCTCAGTTCAGTTCTCTTCCAACAGTGTTTGTACAAAGGGAAAAGTCAACAGTGGAAAGGCACCCAAACTCCATTGGTGACAGAAATGGAGTGGGGGGGCTTAGGAGAAACCAGGCTCAGCCAAACAAACATATAATAAATATATTCTATATAGATCTGAAAAATCTATTCATTTTAAACATAAAAATCTAAATTCCTTTATTGGAGACTAGGAATGATTGTAATATGTTTTCTTTGGAGTAAGACAAAGGATGGCAAGTCAAAGAAACATTTTAAACAAATGTATATAGAGCATACCTATGTACATGCATTTGATTTTATTAGATGTAATTCAGCCACAATATTATTGAAAATGTAAAACAAGTATACAAGTATCCATAAAGGTTTTCAAATCCGAAGTGTTTTATTGTTTATTGAAATATTACAGAATTATTTAAAATTCAGTAAATGTGAGGCTATTTTGCAAATAAATAAATACAGTTGTTCACATATTCTGCATCTTCCTTCTTTGCCGATTTGGAGGTGTTGTTGGCTTTGATCTTTGTTTCTTGTTGTTGTTTTTTTCATTGAGGCTCCACTTGGTTTTCTTATTTTTCTTCTTCCAAACAAGATTCATTTGTGATATTATAAAGAGAGACTATATTGCTCAACATACTCGCCTGGTTCCCAATCATCTCCTATTTCTGTAACTCACCATTCTCCCAGAAGAGGACAGTATAGTCCTAAAATACATTCTCAAGGTGCATTAAATCATTTCTAGATGTACTCTTTATGGATAGTGAAACAAAATGTGAAAAAAAAAATTTGAATAATACAACTGGTATAACTCATTTTCTTTGTAAAATTTAAGTGAAACAGTGTTACAAAGCCCTACATGCCTTCCTCTGTTTCACCAAAGTAACGTATTGTTAGTACTCTGAAATGATCATTTATTTATATGGGATCTTCAAACAATGCTTTTTTTTAGATGACAGTGGAAGACATTTCACATTTCAAGTTCCCACAGAAATGTTTTCACAACATTAACTGTAGCTGTAACTTCTTTGATGGAAATTAGTTACCACCGTAAATGTAATTGTCTTCTGACTGAGGATATTGTTTACACAAAAATCAAATGAAGATCACATATAACATTTGTGCATCAGCAATACGCCGTAAACTCTAGAAGCGCCCAGCCCAGGACAATAAATCTCCTCAGAAGGTTTTTTTTTAAGTCTCTTCTCATGTTACACAGCACATTCCTCTCCAAACCTCCACTCTGCTTTCCCTTCTCAAGTCCACCGTCCTCCTGCAACGTGTTGCTAGAGATCAGAGCTTTGTTCTGAGACTTTGGAAACATTGCAATGGAAACTCAAGAATAAACCTAGGGAAAGTCACTAAACAATGTGACTTTGGATGCATCTCATGCATACACCGGTCCAGTTAAGATGAGAGTAACTTTAAGAAGGTTTACATGCAGGAATAATACTGTGTTTGCATGGATGAGGAGCGCAGGAATGAAGGTGATGTGGCGCTGATGCTGTGATTGAACAGCCGGAACACATTAGACTTCTATCAGTGGTGTTTATAATGGTAAGTGTCCAATTGAGAACTTTTCATTATTGTACTAGCTCAGAATGATTTATCTGTAATTACTTTTGCACATTGACTGCTTTCCTAGAGTTTATATATTGCACAGGTCATGTTTAGTGGTGAATTATTAAATACTGAATGAATATTGCTTGAGACAATTCACAAAACTTGATGAAAGTATTGCTATTAAAATTGATCTGAATTCAGTAAAAAAAAAAAAAAATCAAATAGCTCAAAAGATCAGAGCTTTGTTCTGAGACTTTGGAAACGTTGCAATGGAAACTCAAGAATAAACCTAGGGAAAGTCACTAAACAATGTGACTTTGGATGCATCTCATGCATACACCGGTCCAGTTAAGATGAGAGTAACTTTAAGAAGGTTTACATGCAGGAATAATACTGTGTTTGCATGGATGAGGAGCGCAGGAATGAAGGTGATGTGGCGCTGATGCTGTGATTGAACAGCCGGAACACATTAGACTTCTATCAGTGGTGTTTATAATGGTAAGTGTCCAATTGAGAACTTTTCATTATTGTACTAGCTCAGAATGATTTATCTGTAATTACTTTTGCACATGGACTGCTTTCCTAGAGTTTATATATTGCACAGGTCATGTTTAGTGGTGAATTATTAAATACTGAATGAATATTGCTTGAGACAATTCACAAAACTTGATGAAAGTATTGCTATTAAAATTGATCTGAATTCAGTAAAAAAAAAAAAA